AGGTATTTAAAGCACAGAAAAAATATATTATTAAAAGGACTATGTTCTCTTTGACGTACGTCAAAGGTCAAGTAGAAGTGGGAACTTTTATGGCTGCCCATTGATAGCTCGGTTATATAGCTTAAGAAATAATATTTTAAAGACATTTTTATCAAAGTTGATAAATATGACCAGTTTTGGTACACAAATACTCCTACGACCACAGACAAAAATATTGGCTACAATATGTAATTTTTTTTTTGCCATATATACGTTTTATCGGTCCACTTGCAAAATATTCGCATTCGCAAAAGCTCCGCATTGATTATTGCGAATGCGAAAGCGAATGCGAATGTTAAAATTAATGCGGAAGCTCCGCGGTTGCGAATTCGAATGCGAATATTCGCAACAACCCTGGTGTGTACATGTGTACCCTTCATAAAATCAACTACCCGATCAGAAACACTTTTCACATTGAGCTACAAAGAATGCAAGCTTTCAGCTGTATCTACACTGCCCACAGACTGTCCAGAAACTAGAAAAAGCCTCGACGGAACTGTTTACATTTCTACTTGAAAAATGCTTTGGATTATCGAAGTTTTCAGTTTTTTAAGTTTAAGGGAAAGCCCTCTCTATCTACATATATGCCTCTACAAATTATTATTTATTATTAACCGTGTTTATTTTAACGCGTATAAACATATACGATTAAGATGCATCGACAACTTTTTCATAAGCGCCCATAAAACTTGACGCTTGGTCTTCCATAAAAATTTTAAGTATAGATACGTATACGCGTCAAAGGAAACATGGCTATTGATTACTCAATTTAATATAGAGTACATACCTATTTAAAATTAGATATGTGTAATATACATTGTTTACATTTTTTTCTCATAAACTTCTACAGAGTTAAACTAGCTGAAGCTAGAAGAGTGAAACAATTGATCGGTTTATACAAGGGCGACAGGTAAATGATAATAGATATAACAAATAAAAAGTTTTTATTTTTCACTCCCAATTGGCAAAAAGCACTAACAACATATCGTAGACTACTGACTAGTATATTAATACAGTAAAAGCAAAATTTGCACTTGCACATGCACTAATGAGATAATTTTGTAAATAATATAATTTAGAGCAAGTTTCATACTAAATTAAATACAGCACGAAAACAGCTATTATATTTGCATGTATGTATATACTTACCCATGCCATGTTTATCCTTGCATAATTTTTTGTTTAACATTTATTGGGAACTTCAAATATTTTGGAACAAAGCGAAGCAATTTAGCACTAAAACGTTGTTCCTGCTGTATAATAAAATAGAATAAATTGGTAAACATATTATACGGAAGGTTTTCAAAACTTTGAAAATATTTTTATTCAGTTATGTTGGACATTTTAAAAGAAATCAACAGAAAATGAGCTGAGGCTGAGATTCTTTTATCTGTACAGATTTGAAAGAGAAGCCTGATGTCACAAGTTTGTACGAAACATCTAGCATTAAAGAAATTAAGCCACCGCTGGATTTAGGAGCAACCACATCCTGTTCAGTTCTCCATTCCTGACAATAGAGCATACTTTTGCATCACCGAGAGCATGCTCTGCTTTGCAATTTAATTCCGAGCCTTAAGCAATGCTTGTTGACAAGATTTATTCTTCTTTTGATCTCATGGGTTAGGTTAAGTTGCGAAGGCGCGTACGAATGACTCGTACTTCTACTCGGAGGAAGATTTTCCCATTGTGAATGCCATCCGAGAGTGCCAGGAGGAGGCACATCCTCCCAACCGAGGTTAATCCATAATGTCATTATAAAGTCTGTCAAGCCATTTACTATACCGGATGAAGCCGTGGATGTTCGATATTTTCACCTCCGCTATCTCCCCCAAGCTACTGAAAAAGAGTGATCCCAAATGCTTGAGACACCTTGTCTGGAGAGCTGGGCATTAACATACGAAATGGTGAATCGATTCCTCTGTATCCTCATCCCGACAACTTCTGCAGAGAGAGCTTGTTGGTATATGCCATCGATGGAGCATTGGTGCTATATCACAATGCCCTGTGATGACAGGGCAGATTTGTTTAGTGTCAATAGTTCCTATTGAGTCTCGGCCACAAAGATCTTGAGACCTCACAGACGTCCCGATTCATCCAAAGGTCATTTGTTGCTGTTGTGGTGTATTCTTCAATCCCCCTTAGCAGAAAAGGAATTGGTGGCAGTAGGTAGTTGTACGCTTCGCTAATTTGCATTTCCGAGCCGTGTCTAGCCATATCATCGGCTATTTCGTTCCCCTGTATATTGCTATGTCCAGGAACACAGCAGAGAGAGGTTTTGACGTGACTCAGTGAGACCAGCGTTGCACGACATTTCCGAACTGCTTTCGACTTTACCACCCTGGAGGCTAATGTTTTCAATGCCATCATTTACCGACAGGAGGCCACCTTCCTAATCCTCCCGGATTGGAAATTGTATAGTCATCTTAAAATTAAAATCCCAGGATGACGTGAGGTAATCTGGGTCCGAATTGCGGCTTTCGATATCGAACGTAACTGGAATCCAAATTTGATTTTGAGATCGCGGCATTCGAAGCGAGGCTGCTTCGCTCGTTTAAATTGTATTGTGGAGAAAACATCTGCCATTTTGTTTCATTTGATTCGAAACGAGAAATCACTCGATCACGAATGCCGTAATTCGGGCCCAGTTTCAACAATCTAAATCGGCCTTGATTCCGTTACGCCGTTCACTGTTTATTACCTTCAAGACCGCTGCGTGCCCGTAGTTACTTTGCTTCCAAAGTTGTGATTCCCTCAGTCTAAGGGCCGCTTTTGCGGCTATATCTGTTCCGAATACTTGTGGCGGATTCAGGTAAAAGATTATGTTCAGCCCTTCTTGTGGTGCGCTTCTGAAGGCGCCTGATAAACCGACGCTTGCGAGTCTCTGCACCATTCCAATAATTTTCTGACTGCTGCTTTTACCCAGTGCTTTCCACTAGACTAGCGCTCCATAGGTTAAAATCGGACGGATGCCTGTGGTGTACATATCGCGAATAATATGCGGTGATAGCCCCCAGTTTTTCCCGAAAGCTCTTTTACAGGTATAGTACGCAGCTGGGCTTTCTTTGCTCTTTCCTCTTCGTTGCGCCTCCACGTAAGGTTGGAGTCAAGGACAATACCTAAGTATTTCGCCTCGGAGGAAAGGTTTAGACTAGTCCCGTCCAGCTTTGGTAAGGGTAATTCCGGAATTTTGGTTTTCCTTGTAAACAAGACAAGTTCGGTTTTAGAAGGGCTAACTGCTACCCCATTTTGTTTTTTCCAGTTAGAAACACTGCCCAGTGCCGATTCCATCAGCTCACTAATTATTGGCAAGAATTTACCGGAAATTAGTATAGCTAAGTCATCAGCGCAACTACCTTCGTTCTCCTAACTTTAAAGCTTTCTAACAGTTCATTTACTACCAAGATCCATAGCAGGGGCGATAAGACCCCTGCCTGTGGAATTCCCCTTATTGTTCTTCTAATAACGGACCCTGTGCCACCAGCTGCGTTGACTCTGCTTTTCAGCATCGATTTGATTCACGCAACTATGTGCTGCTGGATGCCGTGGCTCTCCACGGCCCTGCTTATTGTTTCCGTTTCTACGTTGTTGAAAGCGCCCTTAACATCTAAGAAGCTGGCTGGTGTGTATTCCTGTATTCCAGTGACTTTTCAATAGTACCGACCACTTCGTGGAGAGCGCTATCGACTGATCTACCCTTGCGATAGCCATGCTGCGCTAAGTCCATTAGGCCTTATGAATAAGAAATAAGCAATTGCTTTTTCTTAAAATTTCAGATCTTTTACCTAAGTTTGTTTGAATAAATCGAGTAAAAGGTCTGAAATTTTAAGAAAAAGCAATTGCTTATCTTTTATTCATAAGGCCTATTGTGGGTAAATTCCCTTATGAATAGGGAAGAGTTTTTAGTATGAACGATGAGAGACTTAATAATAATAATAGATTGGCGCTTACACATATGCTAGTGTTTGGCCGAGCTTCTCCTCCGATTGGTGGCTTGCGCCTTGATGTTGTCACACAAAGCGGAGGGACCTATAGTTTTACGCCGACTCCGAACGGCGATTGTATTTTTATGAGAAGCTGTTTTTCATGGCAGAAATGCACTCGGAGGTTTGCCATTGCCTGCCGAGGGACGACCGCAGTTAAGAAAAAACCTTTTTTTCTATATTTTTTTGCGATGTTGCTTTGACCAGGGCTTGAACCCAGGTGCTGCGGAGTGGAAGCGCGCACTGCTTACCACTACACCACAGCGGCCGACAAGAGATACTTATTGGCCTAAAATCCTTTGAGGAGGAGTGGTTTAGCTTCCCTGCTTTAGGAATAAATATCAGCCAACCTCCCTCCAAGCTTTGGGTACGTACCCATCCGCCAAGCATCTTGTAAATATAGTCATAATATGGGGTACCACACTTTCACAGGAGCGTTGTAACATGGCCGGAACTACCCCATCCGATCCTGTGGACTTGTAGGGGTCAAAAGTGTTGATACCCCATGATACCTTCTCATTATCCACTATCTCTTCAATGCACGGGCTGGAATAGATGCCTAAGAGCTGTCTGAAAGGTCCGTGCCTTCAGTGAAGTGTGCGTTCATCAAGGTTTCTAAGGATTCCTGGCTGGAGTCGGTCCGAGAGCCATCTGGCCTCCTGATGACACCTTTTGCCGAATCGGTTTTAGAAAGCTTCTTGCGGAGCCTTGATTCTTAATTTGTTGACTACAATGTTCCATACAACTTCAGCAAGGAATATTTTTTTTGCAGCCCTAATTTGGCTTTTGTAGCCTTTAAAGCTATTCCTATAGTTTTCCCAATCCTCCTCGCAACGGCTACATTTGGCCCTATTGAAGAGTTTGATAACCATCGATTTACGCTGTCCTAGAGGTCGGCATTACACCAGACAGCCTGTGGCTTGGTGCGTGGCCTGGCTACAGGACAGGATAGCTCGTATGCCGCGGTCAGTATCCTAGTGAGACGGACGGCAGTCCCACGTCTAATTTCAACTTGAGTCAATTCTAGCTTCTGAGATGCCATCCTAGCAAACCTATGCCAATCCGTATTCCTAGGGTTCCTAACTGACTTGGATAATTCTACCTCAAAGTCAGTGTTGAAGAGTATCCTATTGTAGCCCGAAAATGAACACGTGTCGGGTACCCTCCAATTACTAACCTTGCTGGTAGTCGAATCTGAGACCAGTGTTAAATCTATCACCTCTTCTCTAATCCTATTAAGGAATGTTGACTGGCTGCCCTTGTTACATACAACTAGGTTAGGAGAGACGATAATGTCAAAGATAAACTCAACTCTTGCGTTGGTGTCCGTGCTGCCCCAAAGCTCATTAGGGCCATTCGCGTCGCAGCCTATTACCAGGTCTAGGCCACGTGAATGGGCGTGTGACACCAGTTGGCGAACTGCTTGAGGTGGTGGCTGCTCCTCCTCGTATGGGCAGTAAGCGGACATTAGCATCAAGCTCCTCCTGCGCTTGTGTTCGCATACCACCGCTGTGAAGTCTAGTGCTGTATGGGGCGAAAAGAAAAAGATTACTTAAAGTCTTCTTGGCCAGTATACAGGTCCGTCCATACCTGGTCCAGTGACCCTACCTTTTACAAGCCAGGGTTCTTGGACCAGGGCCACATCAATATCTTTGTCCTGTATGAACTTCATCAATTCGCGAGAGGCCAAGGTGGAGGATGCAAATTAATTTGCACCACTGCCAGCTTTCCCCTTAGTGGTTTGTGGCCTTTCGCCAGGTACACGAACTTTAAGGGTGCCAAACCCGAACTTGATGTTGCCCTGCCTGAACTTAATATTCTCGAGTGACGTCTGGTCGACCGCAACCAGTATGTCACTCCCGGTTAGGGATGTCAATTTTCGGGGTTTTGTCGATCCCGGGATTTTCGGGATCTGGAAATACAATCCCGGGATCCCGGGATTGTCCCGAAATTCAGGCAAAAGTGCAACACATCTGTGATCATCCTATTATAGTATTTTAAATCTGATTGATATAACAAAAAAAAAGTACAATTTATTGTAATTCATTTACATATTTATTAAGGCGATAAATCAGTATTTTCAATCAACAAAAAACAAACATAAAATTTGACAAACATATATGTACATATGTATGTACATATCCTCATTAATTTATAACATAGTTTTTGTACTACAAGTACAAATGCATTTACGGTCACTCACAGAAATATTTTGCATAGATTTTTTTTTGCAATATTCAGAATATTTTTCATGGTATTTTTTTTGTTAATTTAAAAAAATATATATGTATGTGCAATTTTGAAGTTGCTAAAACATCCCGTTGACATTTTATATTTTTTTTTGGCACAAAAAAATTCGTGATAAGGAAGAAAATGCCCAACATCGTCAGTAAAAAAAAATTCAAAAATCAAGGGAGTTTTTAGCAACTTTAAAATTGCACTTTATTGTATTAAATTGAATGGGCTATAAAACTGCATAATAGAATTTTTTGTAAAAATTATGATTAAAAAGTTTGATATTTTTATGATAATTTGGTGAACTTAAACCAACTTTCTCTAAAGTCTGAAATTTTGATTTACATGATTTTTGTTGTAAAATGAGCTATATGTTTTTTTTTTAATTAACAAAAAAATACCATGAATATTTTGAATATTGCAAAAAAAAATCGATGCAAAATATTTTTGTAAGTGACTGTATTTGGTACAGCAGTAACTGCGTATGTAACTATACAAAATTTTTTAAGTCACTGTTTGAGATCAATTTAAGATATTATCATTATATTTAAGCAATAATAAAAAAGTTAACACATTTAAGTAAAAAATATATATATAAGTGCATCACCTATTCCATTTTGAGCGAAGCAAAATTTTTCCTTCTTTTCTTCTTGTTTGCCCTTGAGAGGGGATATTTGTGATTAAAATTTAATTGGCTAACAAAAAAATTGTTTCCAGCAATCCCGGGATTTAAATCGACTAATCCCGGGATATTCGGGACTTAAAAAAGACCGGGATCCCGGGATCCCGAAATCCCGGGATTGACATCCTTACTCCCGGTCCTCGTCTTGAGACGTGCTCAGTCCAAGGATTTGTCATACGATTGGCTTCAAAATGGACTTCGTGGCCGGAAACGGCGGTGGGATCCATATTGAGATCACTGGCCGTACTGGAAGCCTTGAGCGGGGGACTACCTTCAGCTGCGCTCCTGGCCAAGATTCAACAAGGCCGTTGATTGCGCGCGTAAGACAGACCAATGACCTTCTATTGCCGCAACCAACGATCTGGTTGTTTTATGTCTGCTACCCCCGTTTGATAAATACTCGGACTCGACCGCCCCTGGCATGGAGAACAGACGTCGTTGTGAGCCGCCCTTAAACTTGAGAAAAGACGCAAAGGGTGCACCGCGAGGATACGACCTAAACTATACCCGTCACTTTATTTAGCACTATATCATCGTGTTGGCGCTTTATTTAAGTTAATAAGGTAATTCTCTAGGGTGGGGTAACAACTCCTAAAAAAGGTGCGGAAAAGTCGGGAGGGGTACCAAACGACGCGTTTCGGCCCCCCTAATAACAATCCGGAGGGGGGGCTAATATTATTAACCATTTAAAAGTTATGAACAAAAAACTTTTGTTAAATTTCGTTGTTTTCTATGGGCAATTACACCGACAAAGATTCACTAAATCACCTGTTCTCACTTTTTAAACACTATTAAAATATATAATTTAACTTATTTATTAAAGAAACACATAGTTTTATCAACCTAAGATAGATTATTTTGTTATTAAAAAGAAGTTGACAATCTTTGCGAGACGAAACGCGAGATTCCAAAATAGCTATAGTGCTGCCACTGTATTAGTATTTCGTAATAATTCACTTTTCCTTATGAGATGTGTGCACTGTTCAATGCTTTTCGGTATCTTCTTTCGTTTAATATATATATAAATAACGAAAATTTTTAATAAAAAATCGCGCGATTTTTTTATTAAAAATTTTCGCCTGCGTCGCTTTTTCCATAAAAATCAATACTTCGATAAATAATGAAAATTTTTAATAAAAAATCGCGCGATGGTATAGCGAAATTTGCTATTATATTTTGGTTACAATATCTTATTTAGATGAAAGTAAAAAGAAGAAGAAGAAGTGTATAGTGTAAACTGAGTATAATAGCGCAAATGAAATGTGAAATAAAGTGGCAATACCAGCGATTTGAGGTTATAATAATTTTAGCAGGCGCAAAGTTTGTTTACTCTGTTTTATTAACGAAATATATAAAATAAAAGTGAATAAATGATTTGCTTTGCATAAAATAATAACCGGAAACGTTTTAGTAGTGTTTTAAAAGTGGAAACTGGTGATTTAGTGCATTTTTGACGTGGTAATTGCTTATAGAAAACAACGAAATTTAACAAAAGTTTTTTTGTTCATAACTTTTAAATGGTTAATAATATTATCTCCCCCCCTCCGGATTGTTATTAGGGGGGCCGAAACGCGTCGTTTGGTACCCCTCCCGACTTTTCCGCACCTTTTTTAGGGGTTGTTACCCCACCCTAGAGAATTACCGTTAATAATAATAATAATAGATTGGCGCTAACACATACATATGTTAGTGTTTGGCCGAGATTCTCCTCCGATTTGTGGCGTGCGCCTTGATGTCGCCACACAAAGAGGAGGGACCTACAGTTTTACCCCGACGCTGAACGGCGATTGTATTTTTGTGAAGAGATGTTTTTATGGCAGAATTACATTCAGAAGTTTGCACAGTGTGGAAATTTAACTTTTTTCGTGACAAAATCTAATATCTCGAGAATCAGAACAGGTAACGAAATAACGGTATAGATATTTTAAATAATTTGAGATGGAGAATTCAGGGAAAATAATATCGTTGGATAAACAATTTCTTTCACCTTTAAAATTAAAATTTAGGATGTTTCACTTATGTTCCTTTTTTGACGCGAAAGCATTATGTAGTGAACTTTTGAAAAAGTTTTAACTATTTATTTTTGTTAATTATGAGTCTAAAAGTCTATATCCAGGGTAGGTCCCTCCTCAGTTTTACGCTGTTTTTCATAGCAGAAATACACTCGAAAACAGTGTTGCCACAAGGTTTTAATTTTTTACAAAAACTCTAAAAAAAATACCATAATAGTTCAAACAATGTTGAAAACGACGATCAATCGACCACATCTATCAAATTATTTTTCCACGTATTCTTATGTAGATAATTATTTTGGCAACGACAGAACTGCACCACGACTGGCATTGTGGCCAGCTTAGATCTATTGATATTTTTCAAGCGACAGATGAGTTCTTCCGCGTTCAAAAAATTCATATCACCATCGACAGAGCGTTTATATAATGAAGATGGAAAATTTACAGCTGTAGTCGTCCTTTTCAATGTGTTCAGACTATAACAACAGTCTTTTAAATAAAGTAACCAGCAAATGTGTCGTTAAACGATTGATAAAATTTACTTTTACAATTTTATAATTGGTTCACATTCGTATTTAATTGCAAAATTGTAATTAGTCCTGTAAAGTTATTGTTTTCACCATTGGTTCCAGCAGGTAAAAATTATCCAAAAATCTCATTTGTGGGACCGTATGGGCTGTGAAAAAAACCTTTTTTCTATATATTTTTGCGAGGCTGCTAGTCAAGGCTTGGACACAGGTATTGCGGAGTGGTAACGCGCGCTGCTAACCACTACATCACAGCGGCGCCCGAGCCATTACGGAACGATTTTCGGCCAATCTTCGCCGCCGGATTTTAACAGCAAATTATATGCCTGTTCATGTAGTCAAAAGTTTTCAAGAGTTATCAAAAACTATCTAGTTTTGGTGTTCATGAATCCAAAAAACTTGAAAAGTAGGTGAAATTGATGGGTTATTTGTTTTATACTTATTATAGTAAGTTTGGAAATTAATAAATTAGAAAGTTTACTGGAAAATTTCTAAATTTAGCACTCTGGAATTAAATTGAATAATTGTTTAGCTCCTCCTAATGTAATTTTTTATTTTGTTTTGCGAATAAATGGTCATGGTGACGAACTGATATTACCTATATAACTCTCCATTTTACCTTTCCTTAAATGTGCTTATTTCCTACACTATTTATATAAATTTCTTCTCTCACATGTATAAACATCACTTAACAAAATTCCATAACTTGTCTGTATAACAGCATGTTCTTATTTTGTGATCTTTCATATGTATGTTGTTGCACGTAAATAAATACGTATATGTGTTTTATGCTTTCATTAGCAAAGTAATTTTAATGAATGTTTTTATTTATTTTTCAAATAAAAACCAAACATTAATTCCTACAGCGATGCATTGAGTAGCAAGAGTAGAGCCAACGTTCCTGTATACAAACTAGTCTACTCGCCTACAAACCCTTTTCTGGAAGCTATAATTACAGAGGCCGCTGAAAGTTTGAATCTTAAAGGTTATGAAAGCTTTCCCAATGCTGCAGCTTTGGAACTCGAATTAACCACCAGTAACTATTTGGCAGGCGTTCAATTTGATGATTCGCTGATTAATATCACTGAATATCCGCGTAAGTTTGCGTTTTCGTTACGTTTCCCAAGTGAACTTCGTACCGCCACACGCACTTTGGGTTGGACATGGCTAACTTCAAAATTATTTCCGCTTATCGATATACCTGGCCCACGAAATTCCGAAGAAGATGACGGCGGTTTGCCGGTGGGTTACTTGAGAGAGGGCTTTCTGCCCGTACAACAGGCGCTGTCGATGGCGTACTTGAAGTTGGCTGGTAATAAAGACGATTTGCCATATGTCGAAATGCAACGATATCCCTATCCGGAGTATATTAGCGACCCGCTAATTGAGGCATTGGAAACAATTTTGTCTTTGATAGTGGTGTTGAGCTTCATATATCCGTGCACGTCAATAACTAAGGTGAGTAGATACCAACTGTTTAGATATATGTATGTACATATCGTCGCTGCGCCAACAAAAACGATTACCGCAGAACTCCACAGGCGAACAGCGATGGCCTACCAACTGTCATTTTGACGAGCAATGTGATTGCAAGTTTTTGTGTGTGGGCACTTTGATGTCTTGAAATAAGCATTTGCCGCATGACGCCACCAGACAACATTCTCTCAATTTCGGTGCTTAAAATCATTTAAATCTTTAAAAAACTTGCTGAATAATTTCCTAAAACGTAATCATAAATAGTCCAATAGGGAAGAGATTTTTATTTTGATTTAATATCAAAATTTCATCGATGTTACCACCAGCACGCTTTCTTTCAAATGAAAATATGGCTGTCAAACTATCGAATTGCCTGCAATAGATGTCAAGCAATAAGCGCTGACATATATTGCAGCACATGAGAAATAGGCGGTCTCCATTGGAAATATATTTTGTGACATAGTTTTCACGACATCAGTGTTTTCCTGTGGAGACAGGGCCTTATGTGATTTTTGCCATTTTTTTTTTGTTACATATTTTACTAACTGGCCGTCTCCACAGGATAAAATTTATTGCTGCCCAGCTGTCATTTTGGTCGCTAGATATAAGTTATATCAGTGGCAATATTTGTGTGGGCTTTTTATATCTTGATATAAGCATTTGTAAGATAGCTTTGAAAATGTATTTTTGCCATATTTAATCGCTTAAAAAATTTAGAAAATAGGCTATTTTACATCCAAGTACATAATTACAAATATTTTAACAGGAAACAGCTCAATTTTTGCTCTTATATTAAAATAATAATGATGTTGCAGCCACGAAGTTTTCGTGCAAATGAAAATGTAGCTGTCAAACTACCAAATTGCCGGCAATAGATGGCAAGATATAAGCTCTGATATATATTGCTCTTGAAGAGCAATGAGCGGTCTCCATTGGCTATTTATATTCTAACATATGTATCAAGATATAAACTTTATCCAGTAATACTATCTATTGCCCACATTACTGCATTTGCCGTTCTCTTATATAGCTTTTGGTTTTAAACTGACCAAAAACAGCTATGTGCCCTCAGTACTAAAAATACTCTGAAAAAAAACGGGTACACGCTTACTTGCTTATAACTGTTTTTGATCGCAGGCGAATCTGAAGAGTGTGCTTTGATTTCGATGTAAAAAGTAATTATAAATCCAAGGTTCATAGAATACAAGGTTTCGACATTAGCCATGGCCGCCATCTTGATGACGTAGATGGCTCAATTTTTTAAGTTGCCAGATTCCAAAAAAATTATCTTATAAAAATACACTATTTTAGTCAAAAATAAATCAAGTTTTATTTCAAATATGTGTAACCCTGATATTTACCGTTTGACAATTTGCGTCGAAGTTTGTGCTTTTTTCTGCGTTTTTGAGTTTATTTAAATTATTAAAAATTTAAGTGCGCTGTTTTGATTGCAAAAATTACACTGAAAAAGGTAATTTAGGTTTTACCGTATGTCTAAAGATGAATTGCAATTTCGGTAGCGAAATTTTGGCAATGTTATGAACGCTTTTGATTTAAAAATACGCGAGTGCGTTCTGCTCACTTTCAAGAATAAAATCACCAGCAAATTTCAATTTGCATTCGATTTACATTTCATTTGTCACTATTGTACGAATATTATTATGTTAATCCAGTTTCATGTGAAGTTATAACATTTTATGTTGTTATAATAAGCTTTGCCACGATTTTATATCAAAAATGCCCATTTGATTAGGATTCCTAAAATATGCTATACGGCAACTATATTTTCTGCGTTTTGTGTACTCTCCTTCTTCGTAAAATATTTCAGCCAATCAGAACTCACTTCGCAACTACGTCATTGGAGGAAAACAAAGTTTTGACAGCACCATGTCGTAACCTTCTATTCTATGAACCTTGTTATAAACCAACTAAATACAAACATACATATCTATGCACATACCAATTGGAATCCGACAATTAACAAAGGTAAAAAATTATAGTTTAAAAAACTAAAACCTCCCTATTATAATTGCCATTCGTATTGTCATCAGGTATGTAACTTGAGAATAGAAATCGCTGCATCTTTTTTTTTTTTTTTTTTTCGTAGGAGAGGGAAATGCTTTATGCACTGGCCGGGGGCGCTAGTCTCTATACTACCTTCCCCGAGTGTGGGACTCCCACCGAAGCGTGTTGGGCTACCCATTAAAACCCAAACTCCCACCGCCCGCGCAAGAATCCCGCATCTGGCACCGCAATTCTGCATGTCTTCAGATGCAGGAGCGCGCTGTTAGAGCCTTGGGGCTGCTCTTTGGTAGGGGCGTTTCATTCGGGTGTCCTCAGTAGACAACCGTCCTCTCG